TTCGAGGACAGCCAGGACTACACTGAGCAGTCCTCTCTCAAACAAAACAAAATCAAACAAAAGAAGAGAAAAACGTTGCTCATAAAAACAACCGCTGTAAGCACTGCTCGGTGCTCAACTTCTGCTAAGAACAATACTCACTCTAGTTCTTTTCATAAACTTTATTGTGTGTGTGAGACAGAAGGGGAGCACAAGCCTCATGTGTGGCACAGCACGCATGCGGAGGTCAGGGGACAACTTTGCAGTTATGTCTTGCCTTCCACCTTGCTGACTCAGGATCTGCTTTGTGAGCTCCTTTGTGAGCCTCACTGTGAACTCTAGCTAGAGAGGTCGTGAGCATCTGGAGTCATTCTTCGTCTCTGTCTCTGCAGGACTGCAGGGTTTGCCGATGCCACCGCTGTACTGGCTTTTCATGTGGGTCTGGAAGTTGTACTCGGGTTAGGCTTATGCAGCAAGCACCGTAGCCACAGAGCTGCCTCTCAGCCCCCTGCCCCCTTAATTCTTGCTTAGAACAAGTCCCTGAGATCCCTGCTTTTGTCTTCAGTGTGAGCAAGCTTCTGAGCTTGTGTTTGATCCTGTGTCCCTGTTCTCTAACAGTTTTGTGAGATGTCTGTGTCAACACAAGTCCTTACTTAAAGTGTGCGACAGTTATCCCCACAGGCCACTTCAGAATATTTCCCTCGCTGCAGGAAAGACACCGGCTCCCTCTAGCCTCCAAGCATCTCCAGCTATGGCAGCCATTCCTCTGCTTTGGGTCTCATTTCATGTAAATGCAATCACACAGCATGTGGTCTCTTGTGATTAACTTCTTTTGCTCTGTGTGTTTTCAGAAGAGAGGTGTTTGGCTCATGCCTGCCTGATGGCCGTTGTGAAAAAGGCTGCTCAGAACTTTCAAGCCCATGTTTTTGTATCATCTCTAGTTCTCTAGAACGTGTACCAGGAGCAGAATTGGGGCGGGGCTCACATGGGCCAGGGCGTCCCACAGAGTCTGACATGTCCCGAGCCTCTCCCGTCCCCACTGTTACCCGAGTCTTGGGTAACACAGCCATGCCATTGTGTTATCTGTTCCTCTTGTGGTTTTGCTTTGCCTTTCTCTGATGACAAGGTAGGCAGTGACCATGTTTTTACTCGGGACTGTATGCTTTTCCTGGAGGAATGTGAGCTTAAGGCCATCGCCCACTTCTAAACGTTTATTTTATTGTTTTAGTTATGTATCTCTGTGTGAGTCTGTGTGCATGAGGGAGTCCTCAGAAATCAGAAGAAAGGCCCCAGATTCATTCCCTGGACCTGGAGTTATAGATGGTTCTGAGGACCTGTGGGAGCGCTGGGGTCTGAACCGGAGCCCTCTGCAAGAGCAGCGTGAGTTCCTGACTGCCGAGCCATCTCTCCAGCCCTCCTTGTGTTTAAGTTGTATTAAACAATCATTGCATTGTGAGGCTTTACGTATCAGATGGTGATCTGCAATTTTTTCTCCCATTTTGCCCATTTTTCTTTTTACACTCTTGATGCGTCTTTTGAAGCATGCTACTACTCTTCACTTAAAGACAGTGTTTCGGGTGGGGGTCAGTGAGATGGCTCAACGGGTAAAGCATTTGCTGCACAGTCCTGGGGCACCAAGGGAGATAGGTGTGGGAGGAGAGAAGCAACTCAACAATGTTGTCTTGAGACCTATCACATGTGCTGTTGCCAGCTCTCTCTCTTTCACACACACACTAATAAATAAGCATTTAAAAGCCCCAAATGCCAGTTTTTAAAAAGTTATGCAAGCAATATTTCTATTCATCCAAAAAAATCAAAATAATTTGTGTGGTTCATAAAAACATATAAGAAATAAAAATACTTATAGTCTGTTCATTCAGAAAATTTGAATATTTTTTGTTTAGTCTTTATAATAAAACAAGGTCATATAATTTGTGTTTTATTATATTATTATAAAAAGATTTATTTATTTTTATTATATGTGTGTGCGTGTTTGCCTGTATGTATGTATGCATGTGCACCGCATGTTTGCTGTTTCTGAGGAGGCCAGAAGAGGGCATTGGAACCCTGGAACCAGAGTTACAAATGACTGTAAGCTACCATGTGGGTGATGGGAGCCAAACCTGGGTCATCTTCAAGAGCACCTTTGAACCACTGCTCCACCCCCTCAAACTTCTTTTTTCCCCTTGAGACAGGGTCCCAAGTAGCCCAGGATGACATCCCACTGGTGGAATGCTTCTGCCTCAGCCTCTAGAGTGCTGGAATTACAGGTGTGAACCAGCCCACCTGGCCCATAATTCTTAGCCATTCTCACTTTCTAGAATGACCCAGCTGTTGCCGCAACCTGCTCATTGAAGATCTTTGTGTTTGTATTCAGGAATGAGAGCTGTTTCTGTTGCCCTTCCCTCCTTTCTCCTCTGTATTTCCTTGTCAGGCTTTGTTTCCTAAAATAAATGGGAATTTTCTTTCACCTTTTTCCCCCTTCTATGCTGTGCACCGAAGGATAATTTATTCTTTAGAAACTGGTAGAACTTTCTTCCAAAGAAAAACTCTCCTAGCTTGATAACTTCTTTGGAAGGTATTTTTTGAAACTGCTTTCACTTTCAGGGCCAACCATCTCTTCTTGTTTTCTATTATTTCCGCATTGATATTGGCATTCATATTTTTCTAGAAAATCTCCTACTTCATCTGGATTTTCCAGAATTTTGTTATGGATCTAGACCAATTTAATTCTTCCCCATAATGTGTCTCCCCACTGACATCTTTTCCGTTGTCAGTGTGTATTTACTCTTTGAAATTAGTTTGGTAAGTGTTTGTCTCTTTTTGAGAGAGTTAATCACCAGCTGCAGCATTTCCCTCTCTCATATGCTCATTTCCTTACAACTCTAAGTTTACATCTTATGTTTTACCACAACTTTCCTGCTTTTTCAAATTTTATCAGGTTATTTATCTCCATCTTTTCTTTTTGTATAAAAGTGAGAATATTTTCAGATTAAAATTTCCTGTGCATACGGGCCTGTCTGCAACCTGGGTGTCTTGAATTTAGTTTTGTTTTTCTCTGACCTGCTGGGGTTATAAGAACATGTCTTTAAATGTCTAACAGCCAGGATTTTCATTTTATCGTTTCTTATTAACTTGAAGCTTTATTGAATGGTCAGAGAAGTGACCACCATGATTTTATTTCTGAGTTTTTATTGAGCGTTGTTTGGCTTTTTTCCTCCTAAGTGCTCCGAGGGTGCCGGAAATAAAGGTACACGTCTGCCTTCAGTTTTCACGAACCTGTCTATTTGGGTGTCACTGTTGACGGTACCATTACCTTTTGTCTCCTAGCTCCTCCACCCCCGCTGAGTGTGTGTTTAAAGATAGAGAACATATACTATCTTTTCCACAACTCTCGTGTTTCTGTCTTTTCTTTGTGCGAACACACTGGCTGGATGCCTGGCTTGCCTGACTTGCCTGACTTAACCAGTCAAAATTGTAAGCACCTGGGATGGGAAAGAAACTGAGCTTTAGGAATTGCTGAACAGGGTTCCGGTGTAACGACTCCTCCCTAAATCTGTGTGCTTGTCTCTGTGCTCCTTTGTGGGATGATTCGTGACAGCCATCTCCCTTGTCTAGGACTGTGTAAACACTGTCTCCAGTGTCATTGTGTGTGCTCGGTGTGCCTGGCCTGTGTGTGTCCCACAGCGATTCTTTCCGCTGCTCTGCGCCGGGGTCTTGTGGAGCACTGTAAATCAGAAGTTCTGGCCCCCTGCACTTTAATTCATTTGACCCTGTTTTTTCTTTTGTGGCTGCAGAAGATCCTCCTGGTAAGTGAGAGCCTCATGCTGTCATTCCCATTCTCCCGCTCTCTGCTGCCTGGGTCTCCTTCTGGGGGTGCTAGGACCACACTTTCAGTATGGACAAGAACTTGGGGACCTCTGGTATTCTCAATGCCTGCTTGGGTCCCTTGGCCTGGTTCATTCCAAAGTGGGAATTCAAAGGGTTTGGCTTAGGGGAAAACAGCGTTTTCATGCTTATGGCTGAATTCACTACATAGATTAATGCGGCTTCCGGGAAATGTCTACTCAGCCCTCAATCATGGTTCCAGAGTGTTCTCTAGAGACATCTTGTTCTTAGCCCTTCTCGCTGAATTGCCTGGGTTTGAGTGATATGGATAGGCCCAGCCTGAGAGCCCCCTGCCTTGGGTAGCTTTCTGGGGCAGACCCTTCAGGGCACTGATTTTCTAAGGGAGAGGCATACCCTAGGACCCAGCTGGGGCAGGGCTGAGGCAAGAGCTGAGCTGGACGGCATGGACAGAGGTTTGTGGGGCATGCAGTGAGCCTTTCCAGCGAATATGACTGATGAGTGGCAGAAAGGGCAGAGTGAGTTGTCACAGCTTCCTGTCTGCTTGCTTAGCTCCCCACACTGAACAATTGTGAGTAAAGTCATTTAGCAAAAGCTTGTTAATCTTCAGGGACTCTACCTTGATTAAGTCTGCGTTCTGGTTCCCTGTGCACAAAGTAGAGTGGTGGGCTGGGTCCTTGAGCTGCCCGGGATCTACCTTAGCATATGTTTAGGCAATGCATTCTTGGTGTCCTCCCTGCAGAGAACTCTGCATACCCTGGAATCTAGGCTAGGTTATACCCAGGATGCCACTGTGGTTATCCCTGGAAAGTAGAGAAAGATCTGAGTGGGGAACCAGGAGTGGGTGTGGAGCCAGGCCTAAGCCTCAGTTGCTCGGTGCCATTCAGGTGTTTCAAGCTACCCATTCTGCCTGGCCTTTGCCCTAGAGGCAGAGGTTTCTGGCTCCCTGTTTTCCATGCCCCCTATTTGTTTGTTTGTTTGTTTTTGAGACAGAGTTTCCCTATGTAACAGCCCTGGCTGTCCTGGAACTCACCTCCTAATCTTAATTACTTACAGGCAAGCTTTGGGATCCAGGTCAGCCTGAAGCCTTAAGAGGAAAAATTCCATTCAGAAGGTCTTGATTGGCAGATGATTTCCTAAACCCTCTCCTTCTTTTTTTTTTTTTTTTCGCTCAGGAGGAGGAGTTCATTGACTGGTGGAGCAAATTCTTTGCCTCCATCGGGGAGAGGGAAAAGTGTGGTTCCTACCTGGAGAAGGATTTTGACACCCTGAAGGTAAGACCTCTCTCCGGAATGTGCACCCCCGGTCTAGCAGTTGTCAGGTTCAGGAATGAGCAGTGAGGGTTACAGTGGGAGACCAGAGATGTTTTCATGAGTCTGAGTCTAATCAACGGTTGACCATCCACTGTAGAGCATGGATTTGGAACTGGAAATCACTGAGGGTAATCGAGGAAGCATTCGTCGGAGAGTATTGACAATACTGCAGTGGACTGTGGGATGAGCTCTCTAGAGCTCTGGCCAGCATTTGTGGGCACTTAGGTTTAATCCCTGGTAGCAAGGGATGAAAGAAAGATAGAACAGACCAGCAAGATGGCTCCGGGCTAAAAGTGCTTTCACTGAGGCTGACAACCCGAGGGTGAGCTCCTGAGCCCACATGATAGAAATTCATTTGTGTGTGGTGGCACGAGTACACGAGTGTGCACACACATACAGACACACAATTGATTAGTCAACCAACCAGCCAACCAACCAGCCAACCAACCAACCAGCCAACCAACCAACCAACCAACCAACCAACCAACCAACCAATCAAAAAAGACTGGAAAAGGAGAAAACGTTGAAGCATTTATAGGTGAAATAACGTTTAGGGTTTGTTGAAAATGCCTTTTCAGCTCTCTCTCCCTAAAGAAAAATGGAAAGTAAGGGTGGCCTTCCACAGATCTTCACAGGAAAGAATTACTAAAGTTTTGAACCACTGATGTTTCTAACCATGTTGGGTGCTGGGGTTTGTGATGTCCTGCTGTTGCTTTGGGGGGTTTTAGAAATCTATTCTGCAGTAGGAACTCTGAGATCAAATGTGAAATCCAGTTGAGAATATACCTCTGTCCTCCGGCCTTTGACCCCCTACAAGAAAGACAGAAGTTACCCAGCAAGTATAGTTAAGATGCTAAACTTTGTTTCTATGAATTAAAACAAAACAAAAAACAGAAACGTGTCCTCCAATTTCTGGTATTTTGATAAAATTCTACAAATTATACTTTTTCAAGGTTGAGTAGTTTTTAGAAAGATAACCAAAGATGACTCAAAGAATTGTTGTCCAAGTTGTTCTGTGGTCTCCATTTTAGAGTGGCCAGCTACACCGAAATGTCAGAATAATACACGAGTTTTAATGTTAAGTATACCTAAGTATGGCGTGGGATGTACTTACCTGAGAATTATTTCCTCTTTATCTGAGTATACTCAGATGCCTTGTATTGTCTCTTCTGGACTGTAAATGAGGGCGAGTTTGTCCTGCACGGCTTCTTCATGGTTAGGAGAGCCAGCACAGGCTAGGAGATGGGATGCTGTCAAGGGCTGGACTGGGGAAAGTTTCAGCTATTTGGGGTGGTGTGGGTTGGGCCCTCTGTCTTCAGAGTTTCCTTCAGAGTTGGGAACTCTGGGGGTAGTTTCATAAAGTGGTGGTGGCCCTCGGGGCCACTGGACTCTGCCTGGTGTGGTACACCTAAAGTCCTGGCTGGCAGCGAGTACAGAATTTTGGCTGCGTGGCTGGGTGTTTGAGGCTGACGGACGGCACTGTTTGCGCACCAGGAAGAAGGTTTGGCCATTTAGGTCTGGCATGTGGTACTGTGGTCTTGCCAAGAAAAGTGACAAAGGAATCAAGGGTGAGGATTGCTGCCAGGGTGGCCGGAGGCCCCAGCCCCTCGTTCCTCAGGAGGATGCCGGATGCGGAGCTGGCACTCGGCCTCCAGCTTGACCTCTCCAAGGAGAGCTCCAGCAGCTGCCAAGTGAGCAGAGGCTCTCCAGAACAAAGGCATCCAAACCTTGTCTGGGGGCAACTAGACCTGGACGACACCACTACCAACAAAAGCAGCTTATAACACAGCAGAGAAAGGAGTACACAGAGGTAGAGCGAGAGAGGAAAAAGCCTATGCTCCAGAAATCACTAGCAAAGGAGGTAAAATCTCATGGTCTAAATAGCAAAGTAAAGAAATTATAGTGAACAGTAAAAATGCACTAAAATCAGAAATCAGAAAAAAAAAAACTGCAGGAAAAGTGAAGAACATATTAGCTTTCCTAATAAATAAGAATGGATCAAACTCTCCTGCTAAGTGATAAGGACTTGTAGACTACATTAAAAGTCAAAATTCATTGTTCTCTCCTTAAAAGACACTTTTAAAACAATAGAATGGCTAAGGGAAAAAGGCCCAGTATTTCAGGAAGCTATGTTTTGATACTATTTTGGGAGATACAATCAGGTAAGTGTAAATAAAGAGGAATTCAGTAGAATTTAAAGTAAAAAGCAAAGAACAAAATAGCGTTTTGTTTGTGTGTTTGTTTTTAATAAAAGATGTATTTCCCAAGTAAAGAGTCCAAGAACTTTGAAATACTCAGGACAAAAATGGTTAGGAATATATAAACTTGTATTTTATAAAAGTATCATCTCAAAATGACAGAAATTAAAGTTGAAGAGGAAATTTTAATATTACTACCTCTTTGACCAAACAGACAATAACTAATAGTAAATAAAGGAACCAAACAGCAAGCTAAGGCTTTTTTTTTTTTAAGCTACAGCTAGTTAAGCAGCAGCTTAAAATAGTGCTAAATTTGTTGCTTTGAAACAGGGAACAATAATGATTAAAAAAGATGATAGACAAAAGTAATAAAAAATAAAGAATACATTTTCTTCCTAATGCTCAGAGAACACTTTCAAAACCTGATCACAAATCAGGTTAGTAATAAGTTACCCAAGACAAAAATCAGTCAGGACATATTAAAATGCAATAAATTGAGAAATTAATAAGTTTAAACAAAAAGTCCGTCCAGCTGGAAATTTACAAAGTATTTCATTCGGACTCCCAGTATGAACATGGCTGCATAAGTCAGCATTTTTCCCCTTTTCTCTTGGAAATCATTCAAACCCACAAAATCCATTTTTCAGAAAAGTTGGAAACAAATAAAAGCCACAGACTCCAAAATATAAGTAAGGGCTGCTCAAGGACAGCTGAGATTGGGCAGAGGCCACGGGACGTGAGGGATGATGGCAGCTCGTGGGGACAGGGGTTCTCACAGACTCCAGTGAAAGTGTTCTTCCGAACAGGAGAATGCTGGGGACAGTGTCAGATGGGGGGTGCACAGGGGTCTGTTGCTGTTTCTTTTTTACTTTCCTATAACTTGGAAATTTTCATAATACTTGCAACATGAAGTAGGAAGTATGCTCCTTATTTCCAAAGCTGCAGGAGCTTTGAAGGCAGGTCAGGCTGAGTACAGAAGCCTAGACCTGGTCGGGTTCAGAGGAGCTGGTAAGGTGGAGCGACATGGAGGAGCCATGTCTGCAGGAAGCCTTATGCCTCCATGGTGGGAAAGAAGGAAATAGCCAGGCTAGGAAAAGCCAACTCACTTAGTGGTTAGTAAATGTAATTGCATAGCATTAATTCGAAAACCCAAAGTGGAAAAAAGAAAAGAAAGTAGAAATCAAACCAATAAAAGAAGACACGTGGCTACCAGAACTGTTTTGCCTAGGAGCAGAGGAGAAGGAATGTTTTGCTGTGAACTTTTTAGAAAGGAAGCTTCAGGATGTGAAGCATGACCGAAGAAATCCAAGAATGGACAAGATCTATGAACCGGGAGGACACTGGCAAGAAAGAAGAAAGATGGACAGGGCAGAATGGCCCCATGGAAAATACAGGTGGATAGAGATGATAGACATGAGGAAAAGAAAATGAGGAGGAAAAGTTCTGAGGAATAAAAAGAAAGTGCAGGTGTATAAGCCAGGGACAGGAGACCGGAGGCTGGTATAGTCAAGAGTCTTGGAGGATGACACCTTGTTTGTTCCAGACAGTGAAATTGAACAGAGAAGCATGTAACTGTTTAATCAAATTTCACCATCGTGAGAAAACACTTGAATGTATTGTTTGAAAAGGTCCACTGTGAGTGAGGACAGTTGACCCAGACTGGTCAACCTCAGACATAGTCTAGACTATAATACATATCATACTTCAGGGAGAACGAAGGAATTCTTTACGTACTCATTCCTGTTGTCCCCATACCATTGAAAATACCAAAGCCATTTAGAATAGAAAACAAATCAAGGTGGCTCCAGTTTTCCCGACTCTGAAAGTCAGGAGACCCTGAAGCAGCACAGAGAGGAACACGAAGGAGGCTTTGGGTAACACAGCATGGAGACACCGTTCTTACTGAGGGTGAGGGAGTGTGACCGTGATGACGGTGGGGAAGGAGGAGAGGGCGGTGCACAGTGAACGCACTAATCGTCCTGTGGTAGAGTAAATGGAGCTGACAGGTCTTTGATTGAGGTGATGAATGACGTGTAGAAGTAGGTTCGGAGCAAATGTTGTCAAGGCAAACAGTGAGGAGGAGAATCTTGCCTAAAACTGGGTGGTGGGGGAGAAGGAAGAAAAAGAGCCAGCGTGGGGGGGGGGGAAGGGGGGGGAGAAAGGAAAACAGACCATGGAAAGAATTTTAGGAAAACAAATATGAAGGTAGGAATTTACACGGCTATCTAAGTATAACATATATGTAAACCATAGACCCAAGCCGTCGGCCTCATCAGTACTCAGTATACTGCTGCTACCCCCAGCCGCATCCCCTTCTTCCGTGTGTAGCCCTGGTTGTCCTGGAACTTGCTATGTAGACCAAGCTGGCTTCAAACTCTCAAGATCTGCCTGCCTCTGCCTCCTGAGAGCTGAGATTAAAGATATGGGCCCCGTACCTGGCCTTATTGCCACATCAACACCAGTTCTTGCAGCAACTTCTAACGACAATAGAAAGTTTCAAGGTGGAAGAGCTGACCGTGTAGCAGGCTGTGAAAACCACCTGACGGGGTTTAAGAAGAGGTGATGCCATGGGTTCCACCTTTTCACCATAAGGCTTTAAAACTAGAAATTAATAACAAGATCAAAAAAGAAACCTCTGTAGCCTCCTTACCTGGAGAATCCAAAAGAAATGGTATTTTAAAACACGTTTGGGGTACAGGACCTTATGTACCCCAGGCTGTCCTCAGTCTCACTGTGTGTAGTGAGGGTGGCTGTGAACTTCTGATCTTCCTACAGCGCCTGAGAAGGGTCCAGGCATGCACCATCAAACTCACCCTCACACTTTATTTTCAAATAGATTATTCATTTTATTTTATTTTTTGTTTTTCGAGACAGGGTTTCTCTATGTAGCCCTGGTTGTCCTGGACTCACTTTGTAGAGAAGGCTGGCCTCAAACTCAGAGATCCACCTGCCTCTGCCTCCAGGATGCTAGGATTAAAGGCGTGCGCCACCACCGTCCAGCTTGCACTTTAAAAAACCTAAGTCTTGAGAAGAAGAGGAGACAAACAAACTGTTGGACATCGGGAAGACAGCACTACAACACTGCACCTTAAACTCTCCTTAGAGCCCAGGTGGCATTCAGAGTTACCTTAACCCTGACCCTGTTAATTGGCAGGGATTGGAAGCCAATTAAACAGCCAAATCTGAGATCAAGTAATTCAAACAAATTATAGTATATATGACATTTCTGACTCACTGTCCAGCCAGAAGATTTAACTTTTCATTTGTTTGTAGCTGTAATCCTTTAAAATGTGTTACTTTTGTGAGTCTCAGATAATTTGAAGATTTGATTAAGCTGAAACCCTATTTCCTATCAGACTAACAGGCTATCTCTTCCTTCCCCTGGAGTTTTATTTCCTTCCTACCTTTTCATTTCTTTCTCTTCTGTTTCCTTCTTTTTTTTTTTTTTTTTTTGTTCCTCTGTTAATAATTTTTCTTTGAGACAGGGTTTCTCTGTGTAGTCTTGGCTGTCCTGGACTTGCTTTGAAGACCAGGCTGCCCTCAAGCTTACAGAGATCTGCCTGCCTCTGCCTCCCTGAATGCTGCACCACCATCCCTCTGTTAATTTTTGATCCTGTCAGATGCAATGTTTTCTCTTCTTTCTTCCCTCACACTGTCCTTCTTGTTTCACACTGTCCACACTTGTCTTTCCTGTTTCTTCCCTTTCTTTCCTCCTATTTTCTCACTCTTGAGTCTTTTCTCACCCCCATGACAGGTCTATGATACACAGTTGGAGAATGTGGAGGCTTTTGGGGGCCTGTCTGACTTTTGCAACACCTTCAAGCTCTACCGGGGCAAGACTCAGGAGGAGACAGAAGACCCATCTGTCATTGGAGAATTTAAGGTCTGTTCCTGGCGTGGCCTATGGCCACGAGGTCACAGCAGTAACTGGACAGAGAAGGGGGAGCGGCAACAGTGGCCATGGTGCTGCTGCTGCTGGCTTTGGGGGTGAGCTTGCGGCTGATGCAGAACTGGATGGTAGTGGGGATGGGTTGGCGCTAGATGGTGGCCCTGGTGGTTGCTGTAGTATTGGCAATGATGACAAAAATGAAAATCAAGCCCCCGTTTCTTTTAGGGTCTCTTCAAAATTTATCCCCTCCCAGAAGATCCAGCCATCCCCATGCCCCCAAGACAGTTCCACCAGCTGGCCGCCCAGGGACCCCAGGAGTGCCTGATCCGTATTTACATCGTCCGAGCATTTGGCTTACAGCCCAAGGACCCCAATGGCAAGGTAACGTTCTTGGAGCCCTTGGTTCCCTGCGAACAATAGCAAGCTTGGCTTGAGGAAGGCAGAGGGCGTTTCTGTCCCAGGAAGGCCACGGTAAACCAGGGAGCCCAAAGCTGCTTGCGGAGCTGAGCGGGAGCTGGGGGGTCTCTGTGAGGAACAACCCTGGTGGGTAAGAGAAGGCCAAAGTCTGTTTGGGTTTCTGGAAAAATGGGGAAGCCTGGAAGGAAGGAAAAGGACCCTATGGACACATAAAAGCTGGTAGGCTGTGACAAAGTTAGACTTTAGGAGGGGCCTTGTGCATAGATAGAGGTCTGAAGGCTGACCACTCAGTTCACAGGTAGAACTGGCCTTTACATGTGGTAAAGGGGAGCAGAGGTTCTGGCTGAGTCCGGTGAGGTTTTAGTGCTGTATGGGAAGGAGTACCAGGAGGGGAGGCTCAGGACTGGTGACTGCTGTGGGCCAAGGGGCTAGAGGAGAGGTATAACCAGGAAGGCTCTTTCTGCCAGTGTTGGTGGTCTATTCATCACAGGCTGTTGGTGCTGATTTTGTAAAATTTATTCTTGTTATTATTTTGTGTGTATGCACCACATATGTGCCTGGTGTCCACAGAGGCCAGTAGAGTCTGTCATTGGGTCCTCTGGAACTGGAGTTGGAGACAGTTGTGAGCTGCCATGTGGGTGCTGGGAATAGAACCCAGGTCCTCCACAAGAGCGGGCAGTTCTTAACCTCTGAGCCATCTCTCCAGCTCAAATGCCGCAATAAAAATACATTTACCTGGATTACTGAGTTTTAGATCTTCCCTTAAATTTTATGTCTGAAGCATGAGACAGAGTTTTGGCCAGAGGTAGAGGATGGAGGTCTGAAGGACATGAGTTGGCATGGAGGGAAGAGTTGAAAAGGAAGAGATAAGAGCAAGGAAGGAGTGGGTGGTTGGAGTTTAGAGGTATAAGCCTGGGCCCTTCCTTGTCCCCTTGATGTATTCAGGCCCCATATGCATCCCTGTGGGAGAGGGGTAGAAGCTGCGGTGACCCCACCCCACCATGATCCTGCCTTTCAAAGATGCTCCTAAGGGCAGTGCGGATCACTGTTGAGTCTGGGCAGCACAGCAGGCACTGGGACACAGCTGTCGTCTTGGTTTGTACTCTTGAAACCTTCATGGCACTGCACTCTTCAGTTGCTCCTCTCTCCTGTCACACCCCTGCAGGACGGTGGGAGGCCTGCTGCTTCTTAGAGGTAGACAGGCCCCAGACTATCCCACGTAGATGAAACATGACTCTGCCTGGCCCCCTCCATCTTGGAAATAGGCCTTTGGAGCTCTGAGAGGAGCCCAGCCTGGCCGAGGAATAGATGGTCGTGTGTGTGAGGGTCTCACCCACCTCTTCCCACGTGCTCGTGGGTCGGGAGTGCGGGACCCTCAGGTGCCCTTTCCCACTGCTAGGGCTGAGGCTGGAAGACTGGTCCAGCCACGGTGTGTGACAGGGTGAGTGGCACGCCGTGGTGTGTGGTGTGGCACAGCAGCATGGGGTATGGTGGTGAGGTGTGGTGTGGTGTGCTGTGGTGTGATGCAAAGTGGTATGGCGTGGTAGAGTGTGGTGTGGTATGGCGTGCTGTGGCGTAGTGTGGTGAGATGAGATGGTGTGGCAGGTGTGGTGAGACGTGATAAGGTCTGTTATGGTGTGGCGTGGTGTGTCACGGTATGGAGGTGGAGCACTGGCCTCTCAGGACAATATGCACCACAGCTCCCTGATGGCCGTTGAAAGCCAGAAGCCCCAAAGACACCTTGACCCAGGGATTTTATTTGTCTTCCAGTGCGACCCTTACATCAAGATCTCCATAGGGAAGAAATCAGTGAGTGACCAGGAGAACTACATCCCTTGTACCCTGGAGCCCGTATTTGGAAAGTAAGTGGGAAGTGCCTTGGGTTTGGGGTAGAGGGGCTGGTACGGATCACTCTCAGTTCAGTGGGTAGGTGTGGCTGCCGTCTCTTGGGAAGTCTCCATCTCTGGGGCAGGGCCATTATTGTGGATCTTTTATGTCTGTGAGCACAGGCTTGAGCCCTGCCATAACCTTCTGACTAAGCACGGAGGAATTACTCAAAGCTGGGAGCCTATATGAGCACTCAGAAGATGCATTTCTTAGAGTATGCCATACGTTCCCATATGCCCGTCTCCCCTCTTCCCCATTTTTAGCACCTTACCTGCCTGGTACATTTGCCCACATGAGGACATATGTCACTGGTACACTATGGTTAGCTAAGAGGCTTTCTAAGGACTTGCCCATCTTGCACCAGTGTCCCTGAGTGTCCCCATCCAGCCCAGATGCCAAGTTAACAGTGGTTCTCTTTTACCGCCCCTCATGCTTCTGTGGTGGGAAGCTAGGGGATGAGGTAGACCCAAGATAGCCAAGGCACATGGACTCTAAGAGTGAGGGAGAGGGCTGTGTGGGTGGCTCCTGGGTTCTGCTTGGTCATGAGTGTTCTGGGGTGAGAGAGGCCCATGGCAGTGTTTCTCTAGTGCCTGTGAAATCCTGCTCTCCCTATGTAGCAAGTAACACATTACATCCATACATTGGCATCTGTTTGCTAAGTTGAGTCGCTTTGACTGCAGCTTTTGGGGAGAGACAGTCCCAGCCACGAGCAGTTTGCTGCCGTGGTCAGCAGAGGATGGAGGGTGGAGAGAAGGGGCTTGACGAGCTCTGGTAGCTGGTATAGGGCTGGTGCTTATAGGTGTGTGTGTGTGTGTGTGTGTGTGTGTGTGTGTGTGTGTGTGTGTGTAGACAGGAGCACCCTCCCAAGCCCTCCTTCTATTCCATCTTGGAAGATGTTGTGCAGCCCTAGGAGTGCCTGGGCATGCCCTCGGTTACAGAGTTTCATGTCTCTGTCTCCTGTGCCATGATAGAAACATAGGTGTCAACATTGTGTTCCATCTTATTTGTCTATTTATTCATTATGCGTGCATGAACCAGGCAGCCAGCTCAGTTTGGGAAAACCTGCCAGACATGTGTACATACACACACACACACACACACACACACACACACGCACACAGGCATGCCTGGTACAGCTGGACTGTGGGTGGCTTGTTTCAGGAGTGACAGGAGACCCGAGGAGGGTAACCTCCCTAGAATGGCTTTCAGTCTCCTGCCCTTACCCTGCTGCCCCTTGATTCCCCGCTGGGTGGAAGCCATCAGGTTTGCAGTGGTCCTTGATGACACTGGCCCTCCTGCAGGATGTTTGAGCTCACCTGCACCCTGCCTCTGGAGAAGGACCTGAAGATTACACTCTACGACTATGACCTCCTGTCCAAAGATGAGAAGATTGGGGAGACAGTCATCGACCTGGAGAACAGGCTATTGTCCAAGTTTGGGGCTCGCTGTGGGCTCCCACAGACCTACTGTGTGTAAGTGTCCAGAGCTGGCTGCTTCCCAGTGGCTGGTCAGCCGAGGTCTATCCTGAAACCCAGCGTGGAACCCAGTTGTTTCCGCAGATGAGGAAACAGGCTTGTAATTGGCAAGATTAGAATTTGAGTCTGTACATCTTTATCATGTTATCACAGCTCAGCCTTGCTACACCCTTTTTTTGAGACAGGGTTACAGTGTAGCCCTGGCTGCCCAGGAACTCACTCTGCAGACCAGGCTGGCCTTCTGCACAGAGATCCACCTGCTTCTGCCTCCTGGGTGCCGTAAAGGCGTGTGCCACCACACCTGGCTTCAGTCTCTTGTGACACACACCAAGGTCTGCAGGGCGCTGTATACCTGGAAGGAGAGAAGGGGGATAGAGGGAGGGAAAGAGGATAGCATGAAAACCAAGCATCACCTGGGTCTCAGGGAGCCCTGTGACCGCCAGGGCGTTTGCAGTTTGAATTTGAGCTCCAGTCCTGAGTGCTTCAGTCCATTGCTCTTTGGGACTCTGTTTCCTCATTAGCGAAGTGGGGGTCCTGAGCTATCTGAAAGGGCACTGTGAAGGCGAAGGGCGGTCGGTGCTGTGTGAGTGCGGGGGACAAAGGCTATTGAAAGCCCTCACCATGTGACCTTGGAGTGTCTCATCTTCGTCTTGTACTTGGGCCTCAGCTCTGGACCAAATCAGTGGAGAGACCAGCTCCGCCCCTCCCAGCTCCTCCACCTCTTCTGCCAGCAGCACAGACTCAAGGCCCCTGTGTACCGGACAGACCGAGTGATGTTTCAGGATAAGGAATACACCATTGAGGAGATAGGTGAGCTGCCCTTGTGGCCACACACCATGGTGGGCTCTTCATCTCATCTCAAAGGCCCAAGGGACACACCACACATCAGCAGAGGAAGGGAGTGCCTGTTAAGGTCAGAGGTCAGGATGGAGCCAGGGTCAGAACTGTGTCCAGAGCTGTGATGAAGCCATCCAGGGATGTCCAAGGTTAGCCTTGATTGTCTACTTGTCACGGCCTAGAGCAATCTGGGAGGAGCCCTAAAAGAAGAATTGTCTAGATCACGTTGGTTTATGGCCATGCCCTTGAGAGACTGTTTCGATTTATGTGGGAGGGCTCAGCCCACTGTGGATGGCACCATCTCGAGGTAGGAGGACCTAGGCTGGGAAAGCAAGCAAGCTGAGCAGGAGCTAGTGAGCGAGCCAGTCGGCAGAGACCTCCGTGGTTTCTGCTCAGTCCCTGTGCTGACCCCCTCAGTGATAGATTATAGCCTGTAAGTGTAAGCCGAATCATCCCTGTCCTCTCTATGTTGCTTTGGCCAGACTGTCTTATCTCAGCAAAAGAAAGCAAACTAGAACAGAAGGCGAGAGTTTGGGCAACTCTGAAGGCGAGTTGAGGTCAGGGGCAGGATCTGTCTCCCTTTGGCTCTGGTGGTCAGACTTTGGTCAGAGCTTGTGGTCCATCCACCTCTGAGGAGCTCTTCTTACTGAGTTGTGCTGGCCTGCTTGCTTGATCTTGGAGAACACGTAGGCATCAAGAAGGTAGCCAACAGGCCTTGCCACACCCCATCCCTGCCCTTGGCTCTGCCTCGTGTGGTAGCTGAGATGCCCTGCCACATGCTCCCCATCTGTCTGAGGTGCCCACACTCCCACATCGCCCACCCAGAGCTGTTCCAACTCCCTGAGGTGTTTACAGGCCCAGCTGGCCCTGCGCCTCCTGCTTGTTGCAGAGATGTTTGATGTCAGCGCTGGTGCTGAGGTTATAAAAGGAAATGACGGCTTTGATGCCTGGGCCCCACCCCCTCCTCCTTGGTCTGTGTTCCTGACTCTCCCAGGGCTTTAGCCAGGCTCAGCTATTAAGAATGTGCATCTGGTTGAGGGGGGAGTCTCATTTCCTCTGGGGGCACCCGCTGCTCCGCTAGCAACTTTAACACAGGGGCTCCGGGTCATAAAATCCTGAGGTCCAGCATCTGCCTCACCTTACAGATGAAGCCATTGAGGCCACCAGCCAGCTGAGAGCAGGCCACACTCCTGGCCCTGCAGCACACACCATATGACAGAGTGCTTGGTTCAAAACAAAGTGACCCAATAGCACGTGAGAGTGGGCATGCGGATGTGTGTGCGCGTGCGTGTGATGTACGCGTGCGTGTGTGCATTGCTCCTGGACCCCTGAGGCCGAGGCCTCTAGCGCAGAGAGTGTAACTTCCTCTTGCTGGCTGGCGAACCAGGCTTCTTCCCATGGCACCTGTTGCAAAGTCATCTCCTGGCAGGAAGCAGGACGCAGAAGAAGCATGGATCCCAGCTGCCCTGAGGCCCATGTGTGGGGCCTGTCTGTGGAATGGGGACGGCTGTGGTACTCAGCTGCTAGGGTCCTTCTAGGGGCAGGCATGCTCACATTTATGTTAGCAGTGCACAGCACGTGGGGCCTGTCGGAGTGTTCACTGTGCTTTCTGAGTGTGGCCTCTGCCATTCACAGACCAACTTACTCGAACCAGATCATCATTCTGGCAGCACCGAGATGCCAGATTTGTGGGTACAGGTTGCTGGGCCTCAGAGTTGGGAGTGTTAGTAGATGGGTGAGTGGGCTTTGCCAGACAAGGAAGGTTAGAGTGCTTAGAAAGTAGGAATTTTCTCGGAGAGTCTCGGTAATGGAATTTGTATTCAAAGTCTGGAGTCTGGGCAGTGATGTTTCCTTGAATTAAGCGAGGCATGAGGGCCAGCACAGCACATCTTTGTGGGGATGGTCTGTGGTGATAAGGGATCCCCAAGGTAGCCCTGCTGTCTTGTCTCTCACATCCTCAGCCACTTTTTGTTCTTTCCGGGGCAGAGGCTGGCAGACTCCCAAACCCACACCTGGGCCCGGTGGAGGAACGCCTAGCCCTGCATGTCCTTCAGCAACAAGGCCTGGTCCCCGAGCATGTGGAGTCACGGCCCCTTTACAGCCCTCTGCAGCCAGATATTGAGCAGGTAAGTCCTTGCCCCCCTGCTGTGGAGTCCTTGGACCCCCCTAAGTACAATATCCTAAGGGCAGCCAGAACAGCTAAAATATCCCTGGGGCCTTCAGGCTCTGGTCACATCCTCCGTGCCTCAGCTCTTCACAGAGTGCTCTACATGGGCTGTCAGGGCCTAACCCTTACTGCCTGGGAAGCAAGGCTAGTGTTTGCTTTAGGTGCATGCAGCCTGGCTTGTGACCTGCCTGGGCATCTGAAGCCTTTCTATTCCAACCTGACTAAAGGGTATCCACTGTCTCTGGCATTGTTAGTGGTTTAGTCCCAGAAGGTCATCCTGTGCTGAGCTACAGTTGAGGCCTCAGGCTGGATCCAGGAACTCTAGAATGGCAGAGGACCAGAGAGCGGTTACAAGGCTGGAGCTTCCCTTTTGGAAGAGAGGTGAACACAGGCAGCAAGCTTCAGACTGGCAGCCAAGCCAGGCTGGTTGGAGGAAGCAAGTAGTGCATGATGAGGAGAGGACGGGAGAGCCAGGAGAAGCTCTGAGGATGCCTTTGAGAGAAGCAGAAGCAGTCTGTTTCCTGGGTAGGCTGGCTCCCAGCCTCCCAGAGGAGGCCAGGCTAGACCCTCTTGTCCTCCAGCCACATGATCTTGCAGATATTACTGATCCAAGGTACTTTAGTTTCTGCATTTTAAGAGAGAGACAACAGTTTCCTGGGTTTGCAAAAAGGTAGGGGAGGGGTGGGCAGGGAAAGTGGCTCTGTCATAGAGACCTGAGTCCTTATGACTAAACCCTGACTCCCTGGTTCGCTGTGGCATTTCATACACTATTCTCTGCACACTGAGCCTCCCTTGACACTGAGCCTCAGTTGACATATCACTGTCTCCGAGCAGCTTGTGCCGGGAGGGCAGTGATCTCTCATCTGTTTAGGGTCTCTCCATTCCTGGATGCTGAGCCTCTTTTGGTAGGCAAACAGGCAGGCCTGAGTTTCATTTCCTTTGGCTTGGTCCCCAGGTGTGTGTGTTAGGCAGGTCTACAAAAACTGGATGCAATGAGGTGTGTGTGTGTGTGTGTGTGTGTGTGTGTGTGTGTGTGTGTGTGTATGTGTGTGTCTAGAACATGAATGAAAAGCTTGTGTCTTTACAGGGGAAGCTACAGATGTGGATTGACCTATTTCCAAAGGTTCTGGGCCGGCCTGGACCTCCTTTCAACATCACCCCACGAAGAGCTAAAAGGTAAATGGCCACAGGCTCTAGCTAGGTCCCGGACAGGAAGGCCATAGCAACTGTGGGAGAGAAGAGGGAAGAAGATTGCTTGTTGGACAGATTTTGGGCCACTGGGATCTTGGAAAACAGCTTGTTTGGGTCTGGCTAAGTGTCCAGCCAACCAGGCAGAAGGACTTTTTGGATGAGCTGGCCAGTCAGCTGGGGATATCATATCCTTTGCTGGAATATCTATGCAGCTACAAGTCATTTCCCCTGCCAGGTTTTTTCTGCGTTGTATTATTTGGAACACAAAAGACGTGATCTTGGACGACCTCAGCCTCACAGGGGAGAAGATGAGTGACATCTATGTGAAAGGGTAGGGTTCCATCACTGTCCACCTGGGCTAGCTCCCCATCTCCGGGGGTGGGTGGGTTTTCTCTCAGGCACAGCTGTGGTGCAGAGATGGAGAGGAACCTTCCAAGGAGGATCTCACAGTGGGAGTCTAGATCTTTGGGGACCAGCGGAGTCGTTAGATGGCCCGCTCTGTGTCGTGCAGTGGGCATCGTGGAGATTCCTGGGCTTTCCCTCACCGAGTTCCTTCACTCCCACAACTCCTCACTGGTTCAGTGCGAGGCTGCCCACCTGGTGTTGCAGGTCTGTAGGCAATGTCCTGTAGTTTGTGACCTTTGAACTAACGAGGACTGTCCCCTTCCGTGCGCCTAGCTGGATGGTGGGATTCGAAGAACACAAGCAGAAGACGGATGTACACTACCGCTCCCTGGGCGGCGAGGGAAACTTCAACTGGAGGTTCGTGTTTCCCTTTGACTATCTGCCCGCCGAGCAGGTCTGTGCTGTTGCCAAGAAGGTGAGTGGCCCCCGGCCTGGGGCAGCAGGATCTGGGGGCTTCACGCTGCTAATGGGGTCCCCTCAGCATTCAGCGTCACAGCTGGCACTACTCCTGCAGCTGTGACCCCTGTCCTCGTTTCTCACGGGCATCACCGCCATCTCCGCACCCCACTCCGCTTTCCTTTTCTGCTGGTATCACTGTTGCTGCTGTCTCTGCCTTCCAGGACGGCCCATAACTACACAACACACACTCATTGCATAGGTCAAATACTGCTGTCCCTGCTTATCTCACCATTCCACACACACACCCAGCAGAATGGAAGGACCTGGGGCCTGAGGCAGAAGAGTCTGGACACCCAGCGTGGCCACACAGGGCCAGAGGGTGGAGCCGGCTGTGTGGCCTGGGACGGGGTGGGGCGGGGCTTAGACTCTTAGTGGCTCCAAGCTTCGCCTCATCGCCTCATCTGAGTGTTGGTCTCTGCAGTCTTGAAACGGTCTAAGTGGCAGCATCTTCCCCACAGCTGCTCTGCCCTCTGAGGTTGGCAGAGCACAGTGTATAGACATGGGGCAGTTCCCAGCCAGGCTGTTTCCAGGAAGGTCCAGCAATGCTGTTTGGCCCACTTCCGCCTTTCTGACACTAATGGCTACCTGGAGGTGTTTCTCTGCTCTCAGAGTCCATGCCTATACGAGCTTAGGTCCTATCAGTCTGATTTCTACCCAGATGCAGCTCATGCTCCCAGGATCACAGCCTCAGTGACACCTCTGTCTCCAGGCTGCAGTGTGTCTTTACTTTGAAGGGAAGTCTGAGTGTACTAGCCCTCTGAATTCTCTTCATCGTCACAGCCCTCACAGCCCAACACACGGACTCATCTCAACCTCCAAGAAACTAGAGTGTCCCACCAAGCATTCAGGAATCATCAAAGTTAAAAATATGCCTTTATCAAGGCTAAAGGGACTCCTCCACCCACAGTTGGCAGTAGGACCCACCAGGAAAGAAAGCTAAATTTAGCAGCAAGGTTGCATAACGTCCATCAGTGCCCAGGCTGGCTAAGTTTTGATCTTGCCTTTCCTCAGGCTTTGTCTATTGTAAGTCTATTTTCCTCATAAGAAGATGCTGTGCATGTCTGAGGACCCTCATCAGGGTCCTCCTTTAGCTGTGGACGGGAAGGATGAGGCTAGGAGCAAAGCAGAAAGTGCCGAGGCATTTTTCACATCATCTCCAGGGATAGGCTGGGTGGGGAAACTGAGGCAGAGATGCACATTGGCTTCTTGAATGGGAGGGGCTACCACATTTTACCACAGTGGGGGGTTGGAGCCAGGCATGTGTGCAGCAGGGCCTTTATGTTTCCTTCGGAGAAGTAAGAAGAGAAGTTGGCACTATGACAAGTGACTTGAAATGGATGGGAAAATAGGGAGTAGCTAAGAACTGTTACCGGGCAGCTCTGAGGGCCCAGCTGTGGGTGCTGGCTAACAGCTGGGGCAGTGTGCTCTAGCACCCAAGGTGAGAAAGAAGCTGGGCGGATCATGGAGGGAGGGGTTGTCCTGGTGGAGAAAGGGAGAGTCCACAAATGGTGCCCAGGAGTGTGGAGATGCACACCTGGGGAGGAAGAAAAGACAAGTCCCCATGCAGAGGATGGCTGGATACGGGAGGCAGGAGAGAGGGATCAAGCAGAAACAGCCAGGAGGCCAGCAGGGCCAGTCTGTACTTCTCGGGGTGGATCCTGAGAGGCAGGTGGAGCTTGCCCACAGTGGGAGCACTGATTAGCTGGTCTGAAGGGCAGGATGAGGTGGGTGAGTGCAGGGCTGCAAAGGCTGTGGGCTCCTAGGCTCTGCTGCAGAGGCAGACCTCTGTCTTAAGGTTTGGGGCCCTTGGCAGGCGGAGAGGCCCTCCAGGGACCCCATTAACCAGACGAGACTGTCATAAAATACAAGGTCTCCTTTCATCCCACGTTTTTGAGCCACCACTGGTTGTAGGCCTTATTCCCCACCTGGAGCCCAGCACACCCACTGGGGCTGCCTGCATGGCAGGCCCCCACCCTGCAAATAAACAGCTAGTAAAAGGGCCCAGGCCGGGAGCATAATGAGCGCCTGGGACCTGGGGGGCTCATTCCCCAGGCTGAGCCCCTGACCAGCTGCTCCCACCAGGGCCTGTTTGAACCTCAGGCTCATTACTGAGCCCGTAAACCAGCCTGCTGAGGAATGGAGGCTGTTGGCAGCCTGCAGGCAGCCTGGAGCTGGCTGTAAAAGCCGGTTAGAGGAAGCAGGCACCTGCAGGAGGCTGGGCCAGCCAGCCAAGAGGGAGGCAGAGACAGAGATGGCGGCTGGGGCCAGCCCTGGTCTGCTTTCCTTCCATGCAGGCTGCAGCCCCAGCTATGTGGCTGTGTATGAGGGCATCTCTTCGTGGACAGCGCCTCCGCTTAGGAAGGCTGGTGATGTGTGTGACTGCGGAGGTGTTCGTGGCAGGGTTAGCGGGTGCTGCTTGTTGCTGTGTGACACACTACCTGATAGAAATGACAGGGATGAGAGGTTTATTTTGGCTCATGGTCTAAGAGAGAGACAGTCTGTCATGGTGGGAAGGCACAGTGCTGGACTCCAGTGTGGAGACTGTGACTGTTAAACCTCCATGGAGCAGGAAGCAGGGAGTTGGGGAATGCTGCTGCTTAGCTGCCCTCCGCATTTCCCCCTATGTATTCAATCTGGGAACCCAGCATGGGATGATGCCTCCTGCAGTCTTCCTGTTAAACCTTCCAGGAAACATCCTCACAGACACACCTCCAGGTATGTCCCTAGGTTATTCTAAACACCGTCAAGTTAATGATGAAGATTAACCATCTTCACGGCATCCAGGGCTAGACACACTAGTGGTTAGCCCAATGGTTAACTGGGCTACCCAGCTCTTACCCATAAGGGTCCAGGTCTCAGGTTGACCCCACGGGATTTTTCCCACACAAGCCACCTGTTCAGACAGAGCCACAGTGCACAGAGAATCCCAGTGATTGTCCTTTATGTTGAGAGTGATTAGGCACAGGGGCCAGCTCACTCCCATCCTCCCAGATGTCTGGTTCTAGAAGGAACTGACCTGTGGACTATGGGAGACAGGCCAGGAGGGGACCTGCTGCCCCCAGCAGGAGGGGGAAACTTCCTGGCAGGCTCTGGAGGTGGAAGTGGGCTGGGGACCTGCCTCGGTGCCAGCTGCTTATAGCAGTGGGCCTTCCTCCCTTCCAATGACAGCTGGGGCTGGACCCTGATGCCCTCTGCCAGCCCACATGTCCCAGAGACCACATGTGCAGAGCCCATTTTAGGGCTGAGAGCAGGACCCTGGTACCCAACTACATGTGTTTGAATCCCAGCTTGCCACTCCTTATTCTGTGCCTTGGACACTCTGAGTTTCTCAGCAGGAAATTTGGGTCTCCTTCTTAGGTTGTTGCAAGACAGTTGAAGACCCAGCCTAGAAAATGGTGCCTAGGAAGGCTGGGTCCTTTCTGTATCAATGAACAATTAAGACAACCTCCGACAAACATGCTTATAGGCCAGCCTCATCTATACGTTCCTCAAAGGAGGCTTTCATTTCAGGTGAATCTAAGATGTAGCAAGCTGACATTAGAAACCAGCCATCCACTCTTAAACAGTGCCGAGCTCTTCCTACCCTTCCTGATAGGACCTGGATTGAGCATGACCCCCTCCCCTGCCCAGGATACACTCCACAGCCTTTTCCTTGTAGCCTTCCAGGCTGGAGGAACTTCCCTGTTTGCAGCCTCAGACAAACCTTTCTAATCTTGCTTCCCAATCCTCCTTTGGATCAGGATGCCTTCTGGAGACTAGACAAGACAGAGAGCAAGATTCCAGCACGTGTGGTCTTCCAGATTTGGGACAATGACAAGTTCTCCTTTGATGACTTTCTGGGTAAGTCTCATTTCTATCATTCTGAGCTCTTCAGGACCCCAAGTTCAGGCTCACTGGGTCCCCATTATAACTGAAGCATGCAAAACAGAGCTATGTCAGAGAGATCAGGGTGGCCCTGGAGTGGGGTCCTTAGCAGCGGTGGTCCTTGAGTCCTGTCAAATAGTGGGACTCAAGAAGAATGGGGACATGGGCCAAAGCCAGGGCAGGGCCATGCTGGCCCTCACAGCTGCCTGGCCTCATTTCTAACAGGGAAGTCCCAAAGGTCCCAGGTCATGCCAGTCTAGCAATATAGAGCTCAGAAATTGTGCTTTTCCTTGTGCCCCAGTGGCTCTTGCTGGGCAGCCTGAGAACTTGGGACACGGGGAGCTGGGCTGAAGGGTGTGAGTGAAGACAAGGAAGACACATATGGGGCCAGCAGGCAGTGCTGAGGGAGAACAAGTTTGTAACAGTTCTACTAAAGACAGGGAAATGAATGCTGAAATGTGGTCTGTCCATACGTGGGATAGTGTTCATACAAAGACAAGGTACTGCTCATGACTCCATTTGGTGGGCCTTGAAAACATGCTGAGTGACAGAAGCCAGCAGAAAGACAAGTGCCTCCCAAGTCCACGTCTCTGTGGTGCCCACACCTGACAGACAGCTCTAAGGAGGGAGGCAGGCTGGGGAGATGGTTCTGTCGGTAAAGTGCTTAGGGCGGAAGCTGGAGGACCCGGCTTCAAGGCCAGAGCTCGTGCTAAAGATAAAACAGCCACAAAAGCAGCAGCCGGATGTGGTGGCATTTCCTTGTGATCTCAGAGCTGGGGAGGAAGATGGGATTCTCGGTACTTGTTAGCCAGCGCAGGCCAGCGAAAGGCCTTGTCTCAGAGAAGACCAAGGTGAGCAGCACCTGGGGGGCAGTGTGCAAGGTTGGCTTCTGGCCTCCATAGGCACATGTACATGTACACGTACACACATACACAAACACACACAGACAGACACAGACATACACAAAAACACACAGAGACACACAGACACAGACACACAAATACACACACACACAGACACAAACACACACACAGACACACACAAAAACACAGAGACACACACACAAACACATACAAACACAGACACACACACAAACACACACACACAAACACACAGACACACACACAGACACACAAACACACACACACGCATGCATACAAACACACAGACACAAAAACACACAGACACACACAAACACACACACAGACACACACACACAAACACACGCACACATACAAACACACACACAGACAGACACACACACAGACACAAAAACACACACAGAGAGACACACACACAAACACACACAGACAGACACACACAGACACAGAGAGACACACACATAAACACACACAGACACAGAAATACACATACAAGCACACACACACATATATACATGCACACATACAAACACAGAAATAGAGACACACACACACACACAGATATACACACACACAAACACACACACGCAGGTATCATAGCGGGGAAGAGTAGATTATTAATGGGAAGCATGGGAAGGCAATGATGGATAGTCAGAAAAATAGTTTTTTCTATGTGCAGGAAATGGTCTGTAATTAGGGGAGGCCTGTGGTTGCATAACTTTACCCTAGATTTGAACATGCTCAGAGTGGTGAATTTTTTTTAATTGAAGATTTGTTTTTATTTTATACATACAAGTATTTTGTCTGCATGTATGTGCACCATGTTCATGACCAGTGCCCACAGAGGCCAGAAGAGGGCATCAGACCCCTGTAACTGGAGTAACAGATGGCTGTGATCCTCCAAACAGCCCTTGGTGATTCTTGTTCATGGTTTTGGGCTATGTTCATTTTTAAATCGTTGCTCTTCAGAGATTTATATATATCAAGGATGCAGGACACAGTTCAGATAATTTCTATTCATATTTTTAATTTTAAAAAATATTTAATTTTTAATATGTGTCTGCGTGTCTGCGTAGTTTTCTGCACGTGAGTGCAGATGCTGGTAGTTTAGGGTGCTTCTGCCGGAACTAGGGTTGCACAGGGCTGTGAGCTGCCCAGCGTGTGTGTTGGGGGATGCTTTGCAAGTGTAACCCATGATCTTGACTGCTGAGCCGTCTCTCCAGACCCTGCCTTTACATTTCTCATGAAATCTTTTTCTTTAACAGACTTTTGGGCATCAATTTATCCTTTATTGATGAGGCTTTAGAAAATGTATTTCAAAAGAAATTTTTATTGAGAAACAACATTCAAAATAATAAATAGGGTTTTTTTTAAATGAAACTTAAACCATTAATAAATACTGCCTTTGAATTACCTCAGATTTCTCTTCTCTACCCTAGACTGCGTTTTCTAATCATATATTTTATATCTCAAAAGAGAAACAGAATTTAACTCATGTATGCCAGTGTTCACCTGCCCACCCAGATGTCTGTTCATATCCCTGTCTGTCAATATGATTTTTACAGTTTAATCTTATTACCATAGAGAAGTAATGCATTTATCCATTCCTCTGTGAGTGGGCATGAGCCATCTTCCCCTGTGACCACACTCCCACGCTGCTTTCTTTAGGGGTGCTGGGAGCCAAACCCCGACCTGAGCTGTATAAGAGCAGGCTGACCAGGGGGCCAAGCCGGTGAGCAGCACTCCTTTGCACAGATGTGCTCGTTTGCCTTCTCCTGGTGTGACAAATACCATGGCCAGAAGTCAAGGGAGAGAGGAAAGCCTGTCTTTGGTGTAGAGGTCGCAGCCCTTCATCATGGGAAGCCGAGGTGGGAGCTGAAGGCAGCAGCCTGAGGCAGGCAGAGAAGCAGAACGGTGGGAGTGCTGCTCACTGGCTTGCTCCCCGTGGCTTGTTAACATGTGTTCTTACACAGTGAGGACCACCTCCCTAGGGGTGGCACTCCTCAGTGGGCTGGGCCCTCCTACATCAACCATTGATCAGGAAGATGGCCCGCAGGACAATCTACTAGAGGTATTTTCCAGATGACCCTAGCTGTGTGGAATAAACGAACTTAACCAGCACACACCACACACACACACACACACCCACCCACACACACACACACACCCCTATATTATATAGATGTGACTATGTATGTCGTATATATACATATGTGTGTATATATGTTACCATGACAAAAGGCATTATGCCAATGAATGGATGTGTGTATGGAGGCTACGGGTGTATGAAGGGTGGAGTGGGCATCTGTGCTCTGGGTGAAGAAACAGAATGGGTAGATGGCACAGTTATGCATGAAGGAGTGGTGGGGCTGTGTGGAGAGAGCGGGGCACAGGGTGGGAAGCTGACGGAGCTGACCCCTGGCTGAGCTGTGAGTCAAGCTGGAGAGCTGACAATGAGCTCCTCAGCATCCATCCACCGCAGGCTCCCTGCAGCTGGATCTCAACCGCATGCCCAAGCCCGCCAAGACGGCCGAGAAGTGTTCCTTGGACCAGCTGGATGACACCTTCCACCCAGAATGGTTTGTGTCCCTTTTTGAGCAGAAGACGGTGAAAGGGTGGTGGCCTTGTGTGACCGAGGAGGGCGAGAAGAAGGTCCTGGCGGTGAGTCTTTTCTTTCCAGCCCAGCGGAGGGCATGGGCTGTCTCTTCCATGGAACCCAGGGGCACAGGCACATACTTGTCCCCTTTCTCCTCCCTAGGATTTTTCTCTGTGTGCACATGTGCATGCCCAAGTGTATATATGTGTACAGGTATGGGGTGGGGGTGGGGGAGAGGCCGAAGGTCAATCTCTGGTGCTGACCCTTGGGGCCAGCTACTTTGTTTTCTGAGTAGGGCTTCTCATTGGCTTCCAGCTCACTCATAAGGCTGGGCTGTCTGGCCAGCAAGCCAACAGGGAACTGCCTGCCTCTGCTCCCCAAGACCTGGAATTTTAAATGCACTACCATGCTGTGTTCTGTGTGGGTTCTGGGGATCTAGCTCAGGTCCAAAGGCTTGCATGGCAAACACTTTATTGACTGAGCCTTCTCCCAGCCCCTACTGTCTGTCTATCTATTTTCTAGGGTGTTCCCTCTCTTCCTATTCTAGCCTTCCCGTCTCAAGGTTCCTATGGCAGGGGAGACCTGTTGAGTCAGACAAGTGGCCTTATAGAGACTGGTTCTGAGTAATCCTGTGAGTAGAGCTTCCTGCTGGACAGACAGAGGCCATGCCTTTTCTGGGTGGACGGAGACCATGCCTCTTGTGGATAGACAGAGGCCTGATGACTAAGAATGCTGGGAATGGGGGCTGGGGAAATGGCTCAGTCCTTTTCTAGAGGACCCCAGTTTTGTCCCCGGCACCCACATTGGTTGGCTCATAATTGCCTGTAACTCCAGCTCAAGGGAATCCAGTGCTCTCTCCTGGCCTCCTCAGGCACATGCACATCCCTGCACGTGTGCGTGCTCTCCCTTTCTCTCTCTCTCCCTTTCTCTCTCTCTCGTAAAATAAATTAATAAAATAAAATAATATAAAGTTAAAAATGGTAAAAAAAAAAATATTGGGAACACCTGTCTCTATATAGAATAAATGATGACTTCCCCCTTCTTTGCATAGCTATATAATTTCTGAATGCTTTTACAATTAGAGCAACCCAAAGTTTCATATATACATATATATGTACACACACACGATATATATATATATATATATATATATATATATATATATATATATACACACATATACAATAGATATATATACATATATATTGTCATAGTTTGCTTTTCGGTTGCTATTATAAAGCACCACGGACAAATTCAACTCAAGGAAGAAAGGGTTTGTTTTATTTAGCTTACAGGCCCCAGCCCATCACTGAGGGGAGCCAAGGTAGAGCTTAAGACGGGAACCTGGAGGCAGGAACTGAAGTGGAGTCCGTGGAGGGGAGCTGCTTACTTGTCTCTTCTGGCTTGTTCAGCTACCTTTCCTATACCGCCCAGGGACACTTTCCCGGGAACAGCACCACCCATGTCCACTGATAATTAAGAAAATACTCCACAGATATGCTCAATCTTTTCTAGACAATTCCTCAGTTGAGTCTCTCTTCCCATTTGACTTTATTTTGTGTCAAATAGGCAATTGATGCTAACTCTGAAACTGTTTTTTATTTGATGTTTATGCTTGTGCCTGAGTATATGCATGCATACCATGTGCGTACAAGGTCCAACAGATGACAGAAGAGGGTATGGTGGTCGTGAATCACCAGCTTTCTGTGAGCAGGGAATTAACCAGGTCCCTCTGCAAGAACAGTCAGCGCTCTAACTGCTGAGTCATCACTGCAGACGGTTCACCACAACCCTACGTTTGAAAAAGTTAACACAGCCACGTAGTCCTTCTGTTTGGCCTGGCCTGGCTCAGCTCTGGGTCACTGGCCAGAGGCCCCAATCAGGCTCTGTCGATGTCCACAGGGAAAGCTGGAAATGACCCTGGAGATTGTTGCAGAGAGTGAACATGAGGAACGGCCCGCTGGCCAGGGTCGGGATGAACCCAACATGAATCCGAAGCTAGAGGATCCAAGGTTAGTTGATTGCCCCAGGAAGCAGGCCACTGCCGCCTAGAAGGTACCCAGTGCCCAGCTTCACAGAGGCCACATAGTCTCCGTGGTTTGGAGAGATGCAGGCCATGGGCACAGCCTCAGTGGACACGGCTTTTCAGGTCATTTATGAAGCAGGTGCAAAGCCAGGCACAAGGTACCTGTCTGCTGTCCTGGCAATAGAAAGGCAGAGGCAGGAGGATAGGGGTCCTGGGCCACCTGGGCTATGTAGCAAGACACTGTCTCAGAATCCGAAACACTAAAACAAACAAACAAAGCAAAAAGAAGCAGGCCCCATGGAAGCAGTTCCCTGTGGGTTTCATGACAAGCGGGCTCTAGTGCATTAGCGTGCAATGTCCTGGAACCTTCCCTGCTGGGAAGTCACCTCCATTTCGTAGACAAGACTTAGCTCACCAGCATTAAATGCACTCATTCCAGCTAGGAAACAAAAGACAAGAAGCTCAAGTTCTCCATCCTCCTGGGCAGTTGCTGAAGACGCTTTTGGAATTCAGCTCAGGGCTCTATTTGGCACCACCCACCATGGTATTCTTGAAAGTGAGCATAGATGGCTTACTTCATCAGGATAATGTCCACATTCTGTGGGGTTAGAGAGCAGGGAGAGGTCCCTTCGCCCCAGGATGCTGGGATTTGATGCACAAAGGAGAAAGTTCCAAGACCCAGGGCTAGAGCCAGCAGATGTTAAAAAAGGACAAGATTGAGACACAAAGCTGTCTGTGTACCGGCAGAGGGGAGGGTTTGCAGTTCTTCCTTAGGAGTGAATGAGTGAAGATGGGCTTTGCTGGCTCCTCTACTCTCCATCATCCAGAATCCAGCCCAGCTGTGTATGAGGGGCAATCAGCCTGGCTTATCTGTGGCCCAGCATACTCTCACTTACCAAACAGGGTGTCCTAGAAGCTCAGCCCTACTCCTGTTGCTCTTAATTTAAAAGTATGGTCTAGTAATATTTATTATTAGCCCTATAATTATTGTGGCAGTGTTATCTATAACCCACTATTATAATCATTAAAAGATACAGACACCTGATAGATTTTAGAATAGCCTTGTATCACCTCCGGCATGGCAGATATTACCTCCTAAGCTGTCTTTACCTCTCAAGCCCCCATCCCACACCATCTGCTCTAATAATTTCTGTTTAGGCTACCTCCCACCTATAAGCCTAAAACACTTGCTAATGTTCTTCATTTGGGCCAACTTCCTCCATCCATTATGATCCAGCCAAGAACTTCTCTCCACACTAATCCATCAAGGCTCCTGCTTCCTTCCTCCTCTACTACCTGTCTCTCTCCTGTGATCCTTCTGTCTCCAAAGCCTGAGAACCTTAGCCACGCCTGCCTCCTTCTGCCCTGCCCAGGTATAGACCTTTTAATCAGCCAATCAGGGATAATTGGGGAACATTCCTTCTCATCTCACGATTACAGGAGCTAGTTCAACACTAACAATACCCATGGCAGAGCAGTAAGCAGCTCTCAAGGCAATGAACTCAGCACTTGAAAACACAGTTGGACCTTCCTCCACACACTCCCAAGCATTCCATCTATGACTGAGAATGGGTTCGGAAGGGGAGAGAGCCATGAGGAAGGTGTCCTAAAGACAGGGCTCAGCATCAGCTTGAACACAGGAGACACAGGCAAGCATCATCTCAGCAGAGCTCTGAGAGGAGGGGCTGAGGGCCTGGGGGCAGGGGGCTCCTCATCGATACCAGGCTGTTTGACCCACTGTCCCAGCTGGTAGCAGTGTCTGGGGGAAACAGTAGTCCTGCAGAGGTGCTCAGCTGACCCCTGGGATCTCACTTCCAGGCGCCCTGACACCTCTTTCCTGTGGTTCACCTCCCCGTACAAGACCATGAAGTTCATCTTGTGGCGACGCTTCCGGTGTGCCATCATCCTCTTCATCATCCTCTTCATACTCCTGCTCTTCCTGGGCATCTTTGTCTACGCCTTCCCGGTGAGCAGGCCTGATGTGGGGAGATGCTTCCTTGGGGGAGTCCCTTGTTTTTCTTGTGCTCCCCAAATCTGATGGCAACCAGGTCACTAGTTAGAATCAGTGGTGGTTTTACCACTGAAAAGCCCACTCCAGCCTGGTGGGGAACATTCAGAAACTGCATCCCTGGAGCTTCCAGTATGACTTGCACAGAAAGCTCCATTGGAAAGAGAGTCTCTCTTTCCTAGCACCTGTGTTAGTGGAATAACCTTGGGGAAGGACTTGTGAATCTTGTAAGTTTCAGGAGCATCCTGAGACTTGTAAGTTTTGTTTGCTTCCTGAGCTTTAACAAGGTCAGTTTGGAGGAAATTCATACAACAAGCGGCTTGGGCCTAGGGTGGCAAGGGAGTTTGTTGAAGGGTAGAGTAGAGCTGAGTGGGGAAAAGGAATTACGAAGTGATGGAACAGAATACAGCACTTGCTGGGTCCTCTGAGGTCCTTGGTAGGGTGGGAGCCTGGAGAAAGTTGGAATAAGGAGACCCTAGCCCAGGAGCTTCTAAGTGGAAGGGTGCATACTTAAGGTCTCTTTTATCTAGTAAGATGTCAACTGGCATCTGGCAAAGAGACACCATTCAGGGCAGTGGGTCCTTAGCTACCTGGCTCTGCCTGTGGTGGCTGTAGGGCAAGCCTCTGTTCTCTCCCTGCCTCTGGCTTTCACAGCTCTCAAAGGCCCCTGAGATGCCTAGCCCCCCTGTGTTTCTTCACACTTCCGGCCTTGAAGATGTTGAAGTACTGTCAGGTTGTCACTAGAGATTTCATGTTATTTTTAGATTGGAAAAACCAAACATTTATTTATTTATTTAGATTTATTTTTCTGTGTGTGTGTGTGTGTGTGTGTGTGTGTGTGTGTGTGTGTGTGCGCGCGCGCATCATGTATGCAGATGCCCATGTTGGCCAGAAGAAAGCATCATCAGCTCTCTTGGAGCTCCAATTATAAGCGATCCTGAATTGCCCAACATGAGTATAGGGAACAGAACTTAACTACTTAACTACTGAGCCATAGCTCCAACTCCAAACTTTTAACATCAACACTTCAAAGCTACAACAGGTCCAGAGAGGGGAAGGGACTGGCTGTAGGCTGCATAGCCATCTGTGTGCAGTTCGTGACCATGGCTTGACTTGGTTACCACTGAGGTCCACATGGCATCCTGGTCACCATCTCAGCCCGGAGAAGCTGCTTGGAAGATTATCCCCACATGCACTGTGGGTTCTGGGACTCCCGGCAGGAGGAAATGGCTACAAAGGCCTCTTCCGCCGAGAGCCAGGCACTGGGATGCCTGCTCAGTGCCCCTTGCCTCCGGGAGGGAAGTCAAGACCACAGATCATCCTGCATGGCCCCAACCTGCACAAACCTTAAGGAGCAGCGGAGGGGACTTCCCAGGTTGGCTGCTCAGTTCCCAGCTGCCTTCGAGGCCACAATGGCAGGAAAGCCTTTAATGGCATGGCCGATGGCTGTGGGTACGTGCTGGGCACTGTGTGCTGGCTGTGGCCACCTGGCTCCTGCAGTGTTTGCCAGAATCGGCAGGAAGCTAAAGTCAACTAGACAAACTGACTGGCGTCCTGGGTGGGTCCAGGCTGTGAGGACTGACGTTTGTGTCATGTGGAGGGACACATTAAGGAAAAGAAGACAAAAAATGTAGCGTCATAGTCAAGTCTCCCCGAGCAGCGGGGGAGGGTGCCGTCCCTTCTTCTGGCCTGACTCAGGTCACTATTTCTGTTGTTATGGTCAGAATCTACTCAGAGAATGGGGTGGCTTGAGTGAGTAGGTGTCTGTGCCCAGGCAGGGAGGGCCTGGGCACAGAGGAGAAGGTGTGAGGCAGAGCGTTAGAAAGCAGGGCTTCTCCAGGTATGGCCCAAGGAACGTCAAACGTCCGTGTAACTAGGAAACTTGTAGGATGCAGAGTCTGTGCTAGCTCAGCAAGAAGTCTACCATAGTAAGGATGGAGTACGCACTGCTGTAGGAGACAGGCCATTCGTAGACCCAGAGCATGGGCTCTGCCGACTTGTATGTGTGTGACCTTATGTGTGGAAGGGTCTGGGTTAGAGGAGCCCCAACCTTCTCATGCTTCAGGTCAGGTTCTGTTTGTCTTTTCAAGCATGTTAAATGGGGTCCCTTCCTTATTTAAGGACCTAAAGGGGAGGAGCATGTCCCAGGTGGCATCACCACGGCTGTTTCGGTGCCCACCCAGCTCCTGCCTAGCTTGGCCGTGCCCCATGAGGACCATGAGAGCCTATCTTAGGGCCATGGCTGGAAGAAAGGCCGGTCCTTTCTCTTCTTGGGGCTTTTCTGTTCCTGAAGACAGCTGAGGAGCAGTTCCGGCACTCTGAGGTGACGGACTTCTCTGTTGCCTGGACGCATGTCTAAGTTACACTCCCTTCATTTTCCTGGACTGTCTTCTTCATGCCCTGACCTCCCAGAGCAGCAAGTGGCGCACAGGCGGATCCGGGCCAGGGCTTCAGGCCCCAGGGGCCAGCAGGATTAGGCTGCACACCTTTGGCTCACAGGCTACAGTTCAGAATCTTGTCTCTGTCTATCCAAGTCCCTCATCACTTGGTCCGTCTTGTACCTGGGCCTGTCTGTTCACCTGCTTTCAGCCAGGTAGGGCAGAGGGCCTGCTCTAGCCAGTGCAGGGTACCCGAAGTGGAACTGCTCCAGCCCTATTGGACCACCCCCACTGTCTTGGAGAGTTCCCTAGGAGGGGTGGGGGGGCCTTCTGACTTGTTTGGCCCCTCTGAGCCTGCTGGGAGCAGGGCCAGATTGGGGCGGCAGAAGCGATTTGGCGGGGAAGGAGGGCCAGCTTTGTTTCCAGAGTTGGCTTTCCAGGCCGGCGCTAGAGAACATACTGTCCCAATTAGGAGCCCTGTGTTGTGTGTTTTCATGGTGTTTGAGAGGGGTGGTGGGGAGGGGAGGCTCCTGTCAGGGCCACAGCAGGAATGGCTTTGTGGAGGGTAACCCAGCTCTGATGCTAGCCACTGCTGAGTTGTCCTATGTACCTACGCCCTACTCTCTGGCTTGGGGATGAGTTAGTCCTGGGCCTTCTGTCTGTGGGTTTGAGAGTAGGGGTCTATGGAAACGGCCTGGGTTGGCTTTGCTTGATGGATAAGGAGTGTCGTAAGGGTGGAGTATGGAGCCCGCCGTGGGTGGTGGGTGGCAAGGGCAGGCTGTGGGCAGGTGGTAAAGACTCAGGGTCCCAGCTACCTACCTGCAGCTTTACCGTCAGCCCCAAATAAGGGCCGCTCCCACTGTGTTTTCCCTAAAGGGCTTACCATGTGTCTGTTTCCTTGTCTCTTCCTCCTAGAACTATGCTGCCATGAAGCTGGTGAAGCCCTTTAGCTGAAGACATGTGCTCTGGAGAAAGGGGCCCAGGCTGCGTCCCGGCCCAGAACCGGCTGCTCCTCCATTCCTTTGGGGTCTGGGGGTCTTGCACATGTTTACTGAGTCTCGGGATCACCCTATTTTTATCATCTCTCTCCCCCAACCCAACACACCTTTGGATGAAGTCTTGGCTCTCTCAGCATAAAGCAGACAGAAATCCCATACTGTGTGTCTGCAGTTCCTGAATGAGGCAGACTGGGTGGAAGGGGTTGTCTGGGGAGGTCGGGGTGCTGATGAGGTGTTGTCATTTCTGGGCCAGTGTTTTGGAGGCAGAAACAGCTAGGTCAGGAGGCTTTGAGGCTGGTATCTGGCCCAGTGACCAGTCTTCCATCAGCTTCCTTCTGCATAACCCCTCCCCCTACTTATCGTGTTCAGGTAAGAGCCTCAGGCTGGCGGGTGGCCTGACCCCTGGTGTCGACCTTGTCACACACACTTCTGCAATTCCTCGCTCTGCTTCCACACCCTGCTTTAAATATCTGGCTGGATCAAGACACCTTTTCCTTGTGGTCTGAAGCTTGGCCTTGGTGTGGGTCTGAAATTTCCTGCGGGAACCAGACTTAATCCTCAGGAGCAGCAGGACTTCACTCACTGGAAGGCTCTGCTCCAAGGCTTCCAGAAGAGAGGCCTCTGCCTCAGGGCCTGGAGTGCTGGCTGTCTCTTTCTGTCACCAGGAGGTTTCTCTTATTTCCTACTGTGAGCTGGTTCCCCTGGCCCAGGTCACTGGGCCCTGGGGGGATTTTCCCCCTTCTCTCCCTCACCCCTCCATTATCCCTTGCCCCCATTCCCTCTCAGGGCTGTGGGATTCAGGCTGAGGCGCCACCTGAATGACATGATGGAGTTGGTACCCTGTTACTCTTGCTTCATGCTGGGCCAAGAGAACCTGGCAGCCAGGCCTCAAAGGCTAGCTGCCTGAGTCCAGGAGCCAGGGCCACACCTCACGCAGAAAGCAGAGCAGGGACAGGGCTGAGAGCTCTGGGGGAAGGTCCCACCTAGTGACGAGGCCTTGCTGTGTCTGTGCTGTGCCCAGCAATGTATGGCAGGGTGCACGGAAGCCTTTGGAGGAACCACAGGAGAAGTAAGGATTGCTCAGCCTCAGGAAGGGCCAGGGGGCTTTGTCGGGGAGTTCTGAAGATGGGGCGGGGGGGGGGGGCAGGGAGCTACCAGCTAGGAGGAATCAGAGATGCACAAGAGAGTAGAGAAGAACTGGTTTTGTATATAGAGATGTTAGCTTGGGAAGGAAATAAGTAAGTCTATGTTTCCCCCAGGTGCTAGAACGTGAGGGTAATCCGTTCAGCCTCCGCTGCTTTGCAAGGACCTGGACGATAAGTAATAGAAAATCTATTCAGATGACTGAAAAGAACTCAGTGGTTTCACTGACATAGGAATGCACCAAAGGAGGCTTTAGGCAAAGATTGAGCCAGCGTCATACCTAAGGACTCGTTCTTTCTTGCTCTGTACTTGTTGGGTTGGTGTCTGTTTAGAGTTAGCCTCATAGCTAGGACTGGGCTTGAAGCTGCTTCCTGAGAACACACTAGGCATTAAGCAAATCTCAAGCATGGAAATGAAGCTTTTGGCTGGATGACCAGGAGACATATGTCTGGCCAACATGTATGATACTGAGATGCTTCATGTGACAGGCCTAGGGTGGGCTCCAGTGCTTCCCCTGGTGAGTTACACACGACTCCCACAGGCTGAGGAAGCACCTTTTCCTGGGGAGGAGCTTTAGAGAGGCACACTGCTCTGGGGCTGGGAGACCTTGGAAGCACAGTGGTAACGTTTGAGCAGGACAGAACTGTGCTGAGCAACAGGAGGTGGTTCCCAGCACTGAGAGAGAAAGCCGTGGGGCCTCATGGACTCAGCCAGTCCACAGGGCAGAAGTGCTACAGGCAGTTCTAGAGGAGAAGAGGGAGGGGCCAGAAAAAAGGGCAAGGCCAGGTGTGAAGACCCCTGCATACAAAGAAGACCAAGCTTGGTTCTGAGGCAACAAGAGAACACAGGAAGCCAGGTGCGGTGTGCACACCTGTGATCCCAGCTCTGGGGAGGCAGAGGCAGGCAGATCTTTGTGAGTTCGAGGCCAGCCTGGTCTACAAAGTGAGTCCAGGACAACCAAGGCTACACAGAGAAGCCCTGTCTCAAAGAGAGAGAGAGAGAGACAGACAGACAGACAGACAGGGACAGGAACAGAGACACAGACAGACGACAGACAGAGAACACAGGAGGGTTTTTCTCCTGGAAGATGAGAGTTCTGAGGGGACGAAGCAGCATTAAGTGTGCAGCCGCTCTGGACGACTGTCCTGCAGGGACGGTGCTGGGGGGCTCATCCATGTCTCGGTGTGGCCTGAGGTCACAGAGGCCCAGCAGGGTGCTGGGCAGGTGGTGTCCGAAGCTGTTCTAGAAGGCTGGCTCAGCAATCGGAAGTCAAACGTAATTCATTCACTCATTTATTCAAGGTATATACAAAGAGGGGCACTGGGCGAGGTGCGAGGTTTGACAGGATAAGCATATGTATGGAGGAGGAAGTACAGACGCAGCCACACTGAGGGAACGGCATCATGAGTGAAAAGCAGGGAAAGGGAAGATGTGAAGGCTTGCAGAGACAGACCCTCACAGAAAATGGAGTCCCACACGGGCACAGGCTCCTGCAAGCCTCAGGTTCCTTCAGCACATCCTGCTCTGTAGCCAGGTCTGCATACGGTTCAGATTGCCAGAACTGCTGTGGGAGGGCCAGGGCGCTCCGTGCCCAGCTGGGGTAGTACAGTCCCTGCCCCAGAACCTCGGGAGGACAGGATCACCCCGGGCGTGGCCTAAGGCGCCAGGTCCCAAGCCACCCTGTAAGGTCTGGTTTTCTCAGCAGCAGACAGTAGGAATGTTTATCAAACCATTCCTGGACAAGTGGATTCAAATACTTGCAGGCATCTGCAGCCAGGCTCACTCTCCTCCTCTTACAGAAAGTTCTAGAAAGCTTCCTCCCTATAGCCTCACTTCACCTTCTCTCTTTTACCTGTTATGAACAGACAAATCAAAGCGCAGCCGTGGCAGTGGCAGGTTTGGGAAGAGGCATCGAAGCTGGGGAAAGTGGTGGGGAGACTTACTAGAAAGGCTTTCTACCAAGTAAAAAGCACACACATGGAGACACATCTTCGCCGTCTTGCTTTTACTCTTGCCGGGAAGTGGAGTGATGGGATCAGCAGCTGTTGCCCTGTGATTGAGCTGGGCAAGACCAGGGAAGGGAGCTGACACACAGAGGATGGCAGAATGGAGGAAAGGAGCCAAGCCCTGGGCTGCCTGACTCCAGGCCAGGTGCCCTGCATGCAGGTCACAAATGTCCTACAGCTCAGGTCCCTGTTGGTTGTGTTGCCTGCCTGCAGAGCTCCACTCACACCCTGGAACCTGTTTAAACTTCCGCCACCCTGAATGAGGTGTGCTTGGGAACCACGCCGCCATATGCTTTGTGTGTGTGTGTGTGTGTGTGTGTGTGTGTGTGTGTGTGTACAGCCAGAGGTTAAGCACTCTGTCTCTTTTTTTTCCTTTGAGACAGGCTCTCTCGCTGAACCTGGAGCTCACTGATTGGCGAGGCTGGCTAGTGAGTGAGCTCCAGGGCCCTGCCTGTCTCTGCTTCCCCAACATGGAGATTACAGACATGCACGACCATGCCTGGCTTTTTAAGTGGGTGCTGGGCTCTGAACTCAGATCCATGTGCTTGTGTGGTAGGCACTTTACCCATTGGCCATCTTTCGCACTTTGTAGCATACACATTATTCATTATAATACTTTAAACGTAGCCAAGTGTTTTATTATAATAACAATCAGTGCATTGCAGGAGTTTCCTGGGAGTATAACTTCTCCAGGAAGTGCTGCCTTTTCCTAATTCTTGCAAGGGCACTGCCTTCCCATCCCCAAGCCTCTGCCACCCGCCTGGCTCTCAGAGCTCAGGGCCCCTTGGCCTTTTCATAAACAGTCCACAGCACCCACAGCTTCTTCCTCTCCCTGGGCCTGGCTTCTCTGTGAGTCTAGTGTCCCCAGGGTCCTTTATGGCTCCTGATCGCCTACTGCAGACAGCCTCCTCACAGGTACCTCTCCGGCTTTCCTTGACCAGAGTGACTGAGTCTACCAACCTGCCTAGCTCAGCTCCTTTTTGAGCCAGGTCTGTCCTAGCTAGGATGAACTGTTGACTTGACACAAACTAGAATCACCCCAGAAAGTCTTAACTGAGTAGTCATCTTCATCAGGGTGGCCTGTGGGGCATGGTCTTGACTGTTACTTGATAGACAGCTCACCAGGGACAGGCACACTCCCTGCACAGGTGGTCCTCAGATGTGTAAGAAAACAGGCCAAGTGTGAGCCAGCGTGTGAGTGAGCAGCGTGTGAGTGAGCCAGCGTGTGAGTGAGCCAGCGTGCGCCATTCTTCGGGATTTCTGCTTTAGCTCCTGTCCTGAGCTCCGTCAGTGCTGGACTGTGACCTGAAAGTGTAAGCCAAATAAAGCCATTTCTCCTCTAAGTTGCTTTTCTGTCAGTGTATTTTATCAGAGCCACAGAAAGGAAGCCAGAACAGGTGCCTTATGCCCCGAGGGTGATGGTGAGTGCTCCTGCACTCTTACTTCCCCGGCATGGTGCAGGCCACGGTTCCCTGCTCTTATATCCTCCGCCCAGGCACAAGGTTGCACATGGACGTGTACCAAAGCCCTGTCTGCCCTGTTACCACATGCGGTACGTCAGCGGAGCTGATGCTGCCTCTCCAGCCACCTGCAAACAGTTGCTCCTCAGCCCGGTGTCAGGCCCAACCGCCAGTCTCCCCTGCCTTTTGACTTATCCTCTAGCCTCTACTTTCTGTTCCCTGGCCTCCAGGCCCACCTAGCTTCCTTCTTTGCCCCAGGAGATAGTGCGACTCCTGTCGCCCTTCCCAGCCTGGCTCTCAGCTTCTCAGCACTGCACTGAGATGGTTGCAGCTTTATTGGACCCTGACATGTCTCCAGGGCCAGGATCACATCTTGCTCTTCAATGGGTCATTTATTTCTTTCACTGAGAGGATTTTGCTCAGGGCTGATTCAAGTCCCCTCAACAGCCAGGCCCTCAGAACCCACTCAAGAGGACTTTATGTTTAGAAATTATGTCAGTTTGCCACACTGGAGACCATTCTGGCAGCAAGGTGAGGGGAAAGAATC